AAATATTGAATAATAATCAAATGTTTGCAGCAGAGTTTGGTACAAGTGATCGTTGGAAAGAGTTAATGATTTGCGTCGAGTAAAAAATATTCAAAACTTAAAAAAATATATAATTTTATATTTTTTAAACAAATTGATTAATTATTATAACTTGAATATGTTTTGAACATTCTTTAAAAAACTTTGAATAATAAAAAATGTACAATACTATCCTGATCAACTTCATCTATATAACTTATTTCATGTACTTATTTCTACTAGACATATAGAAAAGTGTTAGTAAAAACCAAACAAATTGTTTTTAATAAGTGTTTTTAAAATTTTAAAAATATCACTAACTATTAAACCAAACTTGGTAATTTTTTATTTTATTTTAATTTTATAACTATATAGAATTAAAATAAAAAAATTTATCAAATTTGATTCAATAATTATTGAGATATTTTACTTTAAAGTTTAAAAATAATTTACTTTGGAACAATTTGCTTGGTTTCTACTGACACTCCCATATACGTATCTATTTAATTTAGGTAATTAATTCTTATCCTATTTAATATTAAATGTCAAAAACGATGCGTAAAATAAAGGTTTCGCTCTAAAATAAGTACATGAAAGTTATGTTACATAAATGGCAGGGGATAAATCAGTTATATCCTGTGTAGTTGAATATAATCGAAATTTTGCAGTAAAGTATAACCGGCCGATTATACTTACTGCAAAATTCCGCTTATACCCAACTGCCCAGGATACGATTATTACATGTTCGTTAATGTATATTAATTATTGTCTACTATAGTAGTTTTAACTGCATCTATAGATGGATAAGATTAAAGATATTTGTTTAAATTGTTAAAATTAATTAGTATTAAAGTTAGTGAAACCAGGTTTGCTAATAATTAAACTGAATTCAGAATTATTTAAATATTTTAATCTGAAATAATTAAATAGCATAAGTACTTTATAATTATTTTATATAAAAAATATAAAATGATAAATTATATTAAAATTTTACAAAATGGATTTCAACCTCGTCTATAATTACATTGACTAAAAAGAAATGAATGATAATAGTATTATTTATACTGTTATATTGATACGCCAATTTAGCAAATGAAATTGATCACAGTATAGAGCATAATTTTAATATAGCTTTTTTTTCTGTACAAAAGATCTAGAAGATCTTAGATTAAAGATAACCAAACCCACTGGTTTAGTTATAAAATAGCTTATTGATTTCGAATAATGGATGTTTTTTTTTCTGAAAAATTACACTATTGAATTTGTACACAATTAATATACCTTACCCTATTTCCCAATCTAATATTAAAAAATAAATAAAATGTACGTATATTGATTAACTAAGTGGCGCAAATCCAACAGAACGTGCACCCAAATCAAATACTGAATAAACATTTTTAAGAAAGACATCACCCACAAGCCATTGATCATTTGTACCTATGAAACCAGCACTAATCCCAGATAAACAAAGATTTCTTTTGAGGGAAACAAGATCACGAGCTATATCTCTTGGATCAATACTATAGCTAACACCATTAAACTTTAAAGCTACTTTAGCATTTGTATTACATGGAATAGCGTATTCCCCCTCTTGTAATAACACAGATCCAGGAATATTATCGTGAATAGCAGTCACATCAGCTGGTGGTGCCACTAACAATGTAGTACCGGTATCAATAGTTGCTCTCTTATTTTTGAAACCAAGAGAATTGCCATTAACTGAAGCATCATCCATGGGAATCTCCCAGAATGCAGTATCATTAACCAAATTAACAAAATTAATTGTTCCAGTAAATGAATAGATATCAACACCGCCTAAAGTAATAATACCTTCATCATGATCTACCGCTCTAGAGAAACGAAATGCAAATATTGGCTGAGTGACAACTCCTTGTTCGGCCATGTTAGAGAATGGTGTCGAGGCTCCCTGCGTACTAAGAGTATCAAAAGCCATACCCATGATGCCATCGAATTGAGAGTTCACGAATTCATCAGATTCAGTTGTTGTGATGGCAAAAACTTGATTTTTAATAGTTAGGCCTGAGATGACTACATTGTCTATACATGAAGTTCCAGAAACTGAACCAGTGCCATATTTAATTGAAAAAGGTGTGTTCAAAAATTTAAAACTTGTTGATTTTGTTTGATTAAACCTTGGATGATTTGAACATGCAGGAGATGTGCAACTTGAAGAAGGAACCCATAGATCTACACAAGTATAACGTTTGAATCAAAAAAATAAAATAAAAACTAAAATAAAAAATAAAAAACAGAAAATTCTGAAAAAATTTAAATAATTTATTTTTGTTACCTGCTGAACCGGTATCAAAGATTACATTAAATTTTTGACCACCAATTGATATTGCGGCAAAATACCCAATATCATTATTAATGTCAGTAATATTACTAGTAGAGGTCACCCGTTTCTTTAGTTCCTCTCGAGTTTTTAGAGCAGCTTCGAGTTTATTCATGACTAAGTCATCTACTAAACCATTTTTGTATGCTTTTCTGATAGATGATTCATATTTGGCTAATACTCGTTGTTGATGATAATTACGTATTTCGGTCCATTTAAAATGTTTTGGAGGAAACTGCTTGACAAGCGACATGTAAGGTTTTGGAGTATCGATTATTGGTGCAGCTTCGGAAGCTATTATTATGACCACAAATAGCAAGACAAAGCTCAAAGGTATTTTCATCGTTATAAGATTTAAGGCCTTTACAAAAGGACTATAATGACTAAAAGTGCAGAAACCAGCTCTGCTTGACTCAAAAGAGAGATGGTAAATCAAGGCCTATAACGATGAAAAGGTGTGGGTTTCTTCAGAACCAGTCTGCCCACGCTGATCTTAACAGGAACAAAAAAATAGGGTGAAAAAGCCTCCAGGGATTTTGATGTCAATATATGCTAGTGAAAATAATGATCATCTTATTTGCGAATTTTAATTGTTTCGTGATACGTACTCCGTTTGGTACGTATTGTTTATTAAGTGGTACAAAATCTGAAATCGCCAAGCAAACCTTTGATGCTAAGTATAAAATGTAATTAACATCAATATGGTTAATATATAAAGATTTTAGAAATATCTTTTTTTTCTGGAAGACAAAAAAGGTATCTAAGTGACCCATACCGAATTGATAACCCATTTTTAATATTTATTTAATATCTATTGATACATTCATTGGAAAAAGATGCCAAGAAGTTATGCGTCTAAACTTTTTTACATTCAAATTCTCCAATGTAAATCTATCTTGGTTATTTAATTGCCATTAATATATGCATAAGTACAAAACCCTTGACGACCATCCTTAGGTTCGGGTCCTTAAATTGATATATATTTGATAGTTTGATTGCTTCATGAGAATGTAATTGCATAACGATAATAGATGACCTTATAAAAAAGTATGCCAGGTCTTTATTACGAATTATGAATTATATGGATATGAACAAAGACTTGGATCCATGTTAAACCTCTATCCAAATTAGTGAACAATTGACAAAGGATATCATGTGCGCACAGTAACACACTGCTGCGGTATGTAATAGTTTTCTCAAAGAACCACTGTGAATTGAGTTGTGTCAGTACGACATATATAAGTTTACCTTCATTAAATTTATTTGATTTTTTTTATTATCTTATTTTTTGTTCTTGTTTAAGAATATTAATATTGAAGGCTTTATAACAATATATCGTGTATTACTGAAAATTTAAATGACTTGGGTATTAGTCATTGCTATTTTAGAATAATTAACTGTCGCGCTGAAGCTTGAAATTTTAATTATTTTAATTTGAAATTTGTAGAAATTTTGGTGTGCATTTTTTTAGCTTGTTTTTTTAATGGCTAGTTTTGATAATAAAAGAGCATAAGTTGATTTTGGTAGGGTTTATATTTTAAATCAATGTCTCTGATTTTAAGCTTCAGCCGTGACATTAACTTTACAAAATATTAAAAGATAAAAAAAATATATATGCTATTATTATTATCCAATATTAATTTTTAGCATATGGGAGCTCGTCAATAGAAAAGGTATAAAAAGTTTTTAGTAACTTTTTTTAAAACTTTAGATTAAAATATCTTAACAACTGTATCAAATTTAATAAAATTTTTTTTATTTTAATTCTATATAGTTATAAAATTCAAATAAAAAAATTTTATTAAATTTGATACAGTAGTTATTGAGATATTTTAATCTAAAATTTTAAAAAAAAGTTACTAAAAACTTTTTATGCCTTTTCTATTGATGAGCTCCCATATATAACATTTAACTCCGTATGCAAATAATCCTGGTGTTATGCTTTGTTCGTCAAGCAATGGTGAATGTTGAATAACTAATTGTATAAGTAATAAAGGGGTTACTGAAACATTATGATCATTGGCTAATAATAGGTTATGACCTTATGACTTGTTATGTGACTTACAAATTTTACTATTACTATTACATTATGACCGCCTTGGTCATATAAAGTTGGTTATAACCTATTATTCAATGCCTTACTATTAACAGCTTAAAAAATAAATCAATTATTTATGGTATTTTTACGTGACAAAATTAATTGATCTTATTTCATAAGCTGAAATAGTAAACTCATTGAATAAAACCGTTATTGCATATACGTAATCAATAACTGCTGGATTTTGTGGTCGATGATGATTGGTTGGTAACTCAGCCAGCATGGTGGGTTACCAAACGATTAGAAGAGATTTCATGCTTCGCATGCAATAACTTTATAAAATGGGTGCCGCTGTTACGAAAAATGATGTAAATTTTTAATATTATACTTTTTCTTATGTAACTTTATAATAGTTTAGCTTATATTTAGATAATGATCGAATCTATACTTTAACGATCATTTTATAGTTAGAGTCTAATAGCATAATAATTAGTGAGAGTCTAATAGTTAGTATAAAAGGGATTCTTTCTTGTACTAGTTACGCTGGAGAGTATTTTCTGTTGTCTTTGTGTATTGAAGTAAATTATGAGTTTTGTATTTATGCTTGCAGCACTGAGTTAAATTTGGTTGGAAGATATAGAAGCTCTCCCTTGTCGTAACACCGCCAAGTGAAAACCGGGATTTCTAATGTGATCGAAAAACAGTATACAGTATAACCTCGATATAACGATAACGAAGATTATTTCTAATTTTTATGTTTAAATTAGCCCTGAGATAACGATACTACTAATAAGTTTTGATATAACGAAGCAAAACCTTCAGCTCCAGAGCTTCGTTATGTCGAGGTTATACTGTAATTTATTAATCTAATCAGACCGGTTAAAAGTCCGCATTCAGTTATGTAAAGTCTATTTTTAGAAGATCCGGTTTTCAGTTTTCACTTGGTGACACCCAAATAATCAAGACTGTGTGTCCGGATTATACATGCCGTAGAAAGTATTTCGGCATAATTTCTACCTGAATTTTGGCATGTAGCATTACCTAAAGCTAAATTTGTGCCGCAACTAATGGTCAGTACCTTAGGTCAAAATTAATGCCGTAAATGAAGTATTTCGGCATTTATTTTTGATATGAAATTGCTGAGTTGTCTCATAAATTTATATGCTGAAATACTTTTCCATGCCGAAATAGTTTCTATGAAATGTATACTAACAAAATTGTGGCTATCAATTTTAGGTTATGGCTTGTATTTTAGATTTTGGCTTTTACTTCAGATTGCGGCATAAATTATGGATTGCGTCTTTATTTCTACCCAAAAACTGGCATCTAAATATTTTCGACACAGCCGCAACTAGTTGTTACGGCATGTATAGTCCGGACATTTACAACAGCTAATATCTTACTCGGGCGAGTATAAATCAAAGATAAATAACTGATATCATCATAAGGGCAAAATTTTTATACCCCTAAATTGTCGCAGGGTATAAGTCATAATAAGTCATAAGGGGATGGATAACGGGCGTGCACTTATTTGTGCGAGTGATACAAGCCCAAAAAGGGAAGTTAGCCAATCGGAGAGCGTAAATTTTGATTA